TCCCAGACTTTCTCTAATATATGCCCTAAGTTGCTGATCGCTGCTTAGGATATCCTAGAGCGTTGACTCAGTGTTTTGAACAATTAATCTCTTCATTAATCCCAACCTTTGGAAGGTCACAGGCAAAGGAGCTTTGGGTGGGAAATACATTTTACCTCCTTTTGGGAGCAGTCAGTTCAAGACTGGATTCCATTTGGCCAGGAAGATTTTCCAATCAAAGAACATTGGACTTTGACCTGAAAATGAAAGAACCTTTGGAGTTAGCTACATCTACTCACCCCCATGAGGACCCCTGCCTTTATCTTCTCTTGTGCAGCAGACCTTTGCTTCGTCTTACAATCTTGCAGTACATCCAGAGGGAGGAGCTTGACAGTGGTCTGGTCTGACTAACCTCAGAGTGCTCGATTGTTCTTGTATCATCACCTTCCCCTTTCTGTTCCTCACACTCTGGCCTCTGCTGCTCTGTGCTGTTTCTTATGTTGGGTGTAGATTTGCTATCTCCACCTATGCCTGCCTTGCTCTTTTGTGTTTAAAGTCTGTGTGACGGGTACCTCCATCTCAAGTGGCCCGTGAGCCCCACCTCCACCCCTGTCTTACATTACTTCTTTGTATTATGTATGCATTTGCTTGTAATGGGGTGACAGTAGGGACGTTTTCTGACTACTGTGTCTGGCACCTAGGTCATTGTCTAGCAAACAGTAAGTGTGCAGCAAACATTTGTTGCATGAATAAGTGAAAGTGAGCAAAATGCCACCGTTTATAGGAGTTCTGAGGGGCTGGGAGTTCTGTGAATGGGGTACATCTATAGACAAACCCAGATCTGCCTGCTTGACACTCAGAAGACCCAGTGACTCAGGGTTCTCTTATTGTGGCAAGTAAAAATATTTATTTGGGAAACCAGCAAGCCAAAGAAGACAAGAGTAAAGAACATCCTCTCGAACTCTGCAGTGATAAAAAACTTAAAGGGGAGAAAGGAAGAGAAGAAGGTGCTGAGATCCCTGGGCTCTACACAGTGGACCTGAAATGGGATGGCAGCCTGACAGCATTATCCATCTCCCATGGAGTCTCTGTGAGACTCAGCAGTGCCCAGTAGTGTCATGTAGTTAGCTGTCCAAAATGCTTCCTCTGGATTGAAAGCAGTCCTGGTGTAGGACAGAGAAGACAGGTGAAGTATGGCAGTAAACAAGATGGCCACCAGACAGCTCCTCCAGTGAGGCTGCTCACACCAGAATAGTGTTAATCAGGATCTTTCTGTACAAGCACTGTCAACATTTACTTTCACTTTATACATTGGATTTGCATCTGAAAAGGCCAAGTATAATCAACATTTAAAGGATAACACTCAAATTTGCATCTGATTGAGCAGACATGTTAAGTAATTTTAGCCTGGCTGTTGCTAAGAAACCAATTAATAATGCTCCATGTTTCATTGAAAATTGGATTCTGTCTGCTTTCATTTAACTTCAGAGTTCAGCTACTTGTGCTGTACTTCTCTCCCTTGGTAAATGGTGACAGAAAAATTATCGTTTTACCACATTTCTGTGATTACAATTGTTAGTCATATCTGTCAATACAACGTCAAAGCTTTTCCTTTTTAATGCCGTAGGCTGGAAAACTGAATTTTAACTGTTGATCATTCTTTTTCTTTATAGCTTGTGCGTACTAGGTTATATTTTTGTGAAGGCTTTCCAAATTGTGAGTAACAAAAAAAAAATTTAAAGCAATCTTCCCTGCTCTGTGATTGCCCTTTCTCTGTATAGAGGCTAATAATTAGAATATTAGGCATTCAGAGAGTGACAGACAGCTGATTGAGCGTCCAGCTGCTTCTTACGTTGCTCTTTCTCCCCATGGTTTGTAGACTATACCAGGTTCTGTCTTTTATGCAATGCATTTTGATTCTTGTGACTTTATTTTAGATGATAGCCTCTGTCCTTCCGAATAATAAATGTTCTTTTAGGTACTATTGTTCCCTTTTGAACAGTCAACTGGGAAGTTACAATTAGTAGTAGCAGCACTTCACAGTCTGATGTTTTGTAGTATTGATCTGACTAAAATGCTCATTAAGAGACAAAATTGGTTGCTATTCACATGGGTCTTACAGTGTTTGAAGCTTGATTTGGAAGATGCACACAGACACCGCTGGTTCTTCAGCCTAGTTAGTGGTAGTACACAAAGCCAAGCTCCGGAAGGCAAAGGAGAACCTGCTTTTGTATTTTATGGTTCACATCTTTGGAGTTCGGGTTCTGAAGATAAAATACAAAGGACATAGAATTTGAAAGTATCTGTGAAGTAAAATTCCAGCCTCGCCCCCTCTGTATCACCATGCCTTGTAGGACTGTAAGCACTGGGGAGAGGGAGTGTCCCATTCTAGTCCCTCAAGAGCACAGGGACAGCGTTTAAATGAGTGATGGCTGCCCTGGTATCCAAGACTCCCTTCTGAAGCCACTCTCCTAGCTTGCGGGCACGCTGCTCCCGATGCGCGTCCTCTCACCTCTGCTCTCTGCATGCACAGCCCAGTAGTCTCCCCAAGACTCAAGCTCTGGAAATTCAGATTGAATTTGGGCTTACCCTAAGGGCCCTGCTGTAATCTTAACTACCTCTGAAAGGCTGTCTGTCAGGGTTACATTCTGGGGCACAGGAATTAGAACATCAACAATTTTAGGAAGAAACTATCAAACAATAGCAGGCATATCACATGTTGCCAACTCCCACTCACTCTGTTCAGTTGTTGCTTGGCGGTCATTGGTGGAGATGGCCAGAAAGGAAGCAGGAAGTCTGACTGGCTTCTCTGTTCAGGTCAGATCTGACCATAAAGAGTATTATTACTCTTCTTCCTAGTTTTATTATTTTGTCCTTTTGGGACAGTTACTGGAGCCACTTTGTCCTGACTTTACTTGATTGACCATATGGAGATGTACTTGTCTCCATACCTCCGCAGGGGCTTCTGAGTCAAAGCATGATTCAATACACAGTGAATGCTGTCACTGTGAGACTGTGCTGGCCAGCTGACGCTTGCAATGAGCCTGCTGTAAGGAAATGGGACTCTATGTGTTTCATCTGTTCAGACCTGGAGACAGGTAACGGAAGACAGGCTTCATGAACATCTTAGGCCCAGCCATCTGCCTGTGTCTTCTTCCATGAATATTTGAGAGGGCCCCTTAAATCTGGCTCTCTGTCTGGATGTCACCATGATCACAGGAACCAATCCCATTTGCAGAAGAAGAGTCATGAAAGCACTCTAGCCCTGGGTCTGGGTCACCAGTTTCTGTCAGACTGACCCAGGTCACTGGTGAGTTCTGGAATTAGGGTCATATAATCCCATGAGCTGTTGCAGAGGATGTTCCAGATGTGGTAGGCTGCGTGGGCAGATTAGGTGGAAGATGTCTTGTCCTAGAAGAAGGGGAGGAAAGGCGTGAGTCTGGCAGAAGGGCTCACATGGCTAGACACACTTTCATTTCTTTCACAAAGGAAGATGCTGACTGCAGGTTTAAAATTGGAGCTTAAAATGGTTTCATTTCCCCCTGATTTTAATAATTCATTGAATTAAGCAGAAATAAGCATCCCCCTACTTGGTGGCTTGCTGCTAGGTTAAAGGCCTTTTATTTCAAAGTTTTTCATGAGTACAAAAGTATTCTTTGGTCTTGAGACCTTTTCTTTCCATGTGAATATTGGCTCCTGTCCAACCTATAGGCCTCAAGCCAGGTTGGAGAAAAATTATGACAGCTTCTTCAGTCATTGGACTCAACCATTCTAGATGACCACAACACAGAAGGGTGATTACAGTTTAAAGACATACATTTAATTGTGAAGAGCGGGATGCCTGCCTGGAACAGTGCATGCAGTGTTTAACCTGATGCATGAGGGTTTATGTATTTCACTTAGTTAAACAGGATCTGTGTTCTGCCAGACCCCACAGGGGAAAACATACAAACATGAAACCTTAGATTCTAGCTGCATGTACACAGCATTCCTCTGTTACTTTTGACTTCATGAGACCTTAGATACGGGTCACATGTACACAGCATACCTCTGTTACATCTGACTTTTCTTCAAGCTTAAAGAAACAAATACAATGTCCTTTCACGTTTAGGAGACTGAGGCAGCATAGGTGAGCACTGGCTGTAGCTTCAGTGCGTATGAGTGGGAGGACGCAAGTTTGATGACACCTCCCTTCTTGCATGTGGGCCACAGGGAAGAGTAGCATTAAGAGAGACATGGGGCTTGTGTGGAAACCGTCACATTCCTACATCATGGTACACCTCACAGCTTTGCAGATGACTTCTAGACCTTACCAGTCAGTTCCAAGTTGTTTGTAGTTGAGTAATTGTATTTTGTACTGTAGATATTGTTGATTGTATTTCTACTTTATCACTACATGGATGTACCAGCTTCCCCAGGCTGGGGGCCCAGTGGCCAGAGGAGGCTAAGGGAAACCCTGAGTTTCATATAGATAGGAAGTAAGCAGGGAATGTTGTTACTTAGAAATCTGCAGACTTGGGGTTTAATTTACTAGTATCATTGAACTTTCAAGAGACTGTGGGGAGTGGAAATAATTGAGAACGTCAACATCTTGTTTAAAATACCCTCATGTTTTGCAGCCGGTTTTTGCCTGTTTTACAGCATGCATTCTGGTCTAAAATTGGAACACTGCAGGAAAGATTGGCAAGGATGATAACATTCATAGCGTTCTGTCTTTTTCTTATCTCTGAAATCTCAAAAAATCCTTGTACTCTTCCAAATGAGAGGACGCATTTTCCAATTCAGCTTCCTGTTTTCTCGTTCCTTTCTTTGTCATGATTCTAATACCGTAGCAGTCATGATATAGATGAGTTCTGTCACTGATGAGCAGTTTTCCAGGCTTTATGGATTTCTTCCCCTTTAAGTAAATTGTGAATAATAATAAAATAATAATAATATATTATATAATAATAATATAATGCTCCCAAATTATAAGCTTCTGAGTGACAATTTGTGTCTCTGCTTGAAGGTTTAATGCTAAGGACCTTTGTCCACTGAACTGTGGGGATCCCTTTCCTCCTCAGGCAGAGCTTGAGGTCAAGATCAGCCGTTGAGAATTGTGGATTATCATGAGGACGGCCATGAGTAGGGAGTGCCATTTTCCTTCCTCAGACATTCTAATGGGAGGGAGAGGAACAAGAATGACATAAAGGAAGGCTCAGTGCTGTGGTGGTGACAGGATGAGTACAGAGTCCCATGGTGTGACCATCCCAGAAAGAGCTGAAGAGCATGTCTTTACCTCTGTCATGTCTACACTCTAGCATTAGACCCCCTCACTCGCAAACATGTACACAGACATAATTGCGTTCATGAGATCTTATTTTCAGTCATGACGTGTGGGAACTGATGTCACTGTCTGCAGTTAGCAAGGACATGTTTTGTGTGTGGTCTTGGGCCTCACGAGTATTTACCTGGATATATCAGAGGTGGAGTCTATGTCTCACACTGTTCAAATAAACTCCAGCTTGCTATATTCCTTTAATATGATGACTAATGATTATTCAAAAGAATTCTGACAAAGAAAAACAGATGAGAAAAGTCAGACTAAGAATAGAAGACATCCAATCTACCGTACTTGTAGAAAGAGAACATTTTTATGTGTAGCTGGCTTGGCATTTAGGATCATACCCAGGGCCTCACACATTATACCTTCAGCCCAACACTGAGATTTTTAACAAAGATTTTAAAGTATGACTATGTATTTGTACCTCCTTAAAATGCAAAAGAACTGTGAAAACACAGGCAATGTCCTTTATAGTCCTGAACTGTAAGGGATTCTTATCTGGAACTTAAAATTCAAAAGCCATAAAAGGAATAAATAAATAAATTTGATTCAATTTAAAAGTTTTTGCATGGTAAAAAAAAAATTACAATAAACACATTCAAAACATATGAAAATCTGTCTGTAGAAAACATACCTCTAGATGAGTGTGAGCACCCTTCCCTAGGCAATAGGAAGAGAGGCCAGGGACAGGAGCCGGTTATCCACACAGAACTGCACTGCCGTCTTTTAAATCTAAAAGTGTTTACCCATGAAGTCAGAGAAATGTGAATTGAAGCTATGAAGGACTAGCACTTTTTATTTTATCTGAAAAATTCTAAAGAAGGATAGTTGTATCATTGGCCTGATGGGGAACATCTGCACTGTGTTTCTGTGGGAACACAGATGCCTCAGCTCTGGTGAAGGCAGAGTTGCCCATACCTCTCAGGATATGTGCAGTTACCCTTTGACCTGTCTGGCGCTGACAGGCTTTCCTGTTGAAATATCTGAATGCATATAAAGTGGTATACAAAGGAGGTTTCCCACCAGACCTTTGTTTGTACTAGAAAACAGTGGAGTCAAGGATCCATTAGTGAAGAGATACATAAGTAAACCATGGTCCAGCTATACAGTGGGACACTGTGTGGCAATCTAAACAGAACATGGAAATGCTTTATGCACTGATCTGGGAAGAGCTCCGAGCAGAGTCATTAAAAAGAAAGCAAGGTCTGAAACACAGTATATAGGATGCTGCCTTTGATGTAGAAAGGAGGCCGTTTGACCGTGTCCATATCTTCGTGTATCTGCATGGAGAAACACTGGGGGGCGTTGTCCATGCAGGTCAGCACTTGAATGGAGAGCCAGTAGAGCAGCTGCCTCTAGTGGGTGGCTGGAAGCAGGATGGGAACAGCACCGAGCTCTATTGTAGTTTTTTTTTGTTTTTTTGAACTGTGTAAGTTATTTCCTAGTCAAAATAAGTTTTCAAAGTCACAGTAAGTTTTTTAAAAATTAAGTTCAGACATGTATTGTGATCATATCCATCCACTAATTACCTTCTTTTATCTTTTCCCACTCCTGCTGACCCAACTAGCCTCTCTCATACTTTTAGGTACTTCTATGTCCTTTTCCTTTGTGACCTGCTGAGTGTAATTAGGGTTGCTTGTGTGATCATGGGTAGGGGGTTATTCACTGGAGCATGGGCTACTTACCAGTGGCTACACCACTCAAGAAAATTACCTTCTTTTTTTCCAGCAATCATTAACTGCCAATAGCTCATCAGGAATGAATGAGTCTCAAAAGCCCCTCTCTTGTTCAAGTTGATTGGCCAATCTTGTGCAGATCTTGAACAGATAATAGCGGCTGCCATGGGTTCATGGGTGTGATGGCCATGTTCATGCCCAAAACACAGCATTGCATAGCCCTCTTGTCACCCAAAGGCTCTCATGTTTCCCCTCCCACTGCTACACTGTGCTGTAGGCCTTAGAAGATGAGTGTAGATCTTCTGTGTAGGGCTGAGCACAAAACGGTCACTTATTCTTAGCATTATGAACAGTAACGATTCTCTTCATGAGAAGCTGCTCTGACCAAAGCTGAGGGCAGCGCTAATCTATGGGATGAACAAAATGGCCGCTTAGAAAAACAAGAATAGTAGACTCCTCCCCTCAAGGGCCTGTGGCCTCCCAGGCTTTTGACCAGGTTTACAGAACCAAATATTATTTTCTCTTCTATGAAACAGACTTCGAGTTTAAGCAGAAAGTGGCTATGCCCCAAACAGTAATGCAGCTGTTGTACCAGGATTCGTATCTTGCATTGTAGGTTGGTGTTGTAGCACAGAGGGTTCATAGCTAAGTGAAGCCAAGGCTGCCTTTCCTCTCCACACAGCCTCCATAGGGACGGCGAACATCAGCCAGTACAGGGGCGCTCCAAGGCAGTTCCACCTAGCTTTCTCTTTGCTCTTCAGCCACCGTCTAGTTCTAGGGGCAACCAAGAGCAACGTCAATAGCCTGTATTGTTTGGGATCCTCTGGGACTCCCATGGACAGTAACTCAGAGGGAGGTAACCTGTACCTGGTGGCACTTGAATCCTTTGGAACTTTGTTTAAAAACCTATTGCTTTGGGATGCAGAAAGGGCTTACCACCCTTAAGGTCATGTACTGTCCTTACAAAGGACCAGAGTTCAATTTCCAGTAGCTCTCGGGGCATCTAACATCTCTGGTCACGTGGTCACATGAACTCATGTGCATGTGCTCATTCAGAGACACATAATTAAATAATAATGGAAATCTTACAAACAAAACTACATTTTCTGGGAAACACTACCCACGCATGCAGGACACATCTTTTCAAACTTCAATTATAATTTTAGTAAGTATAGCTTTGTCACACATTCTTAGCTCAGGTGAATGCTCGCCCCACGCCTTTCCCTCATCATCCCACCCCATCCCTGTCACTCCATCTCCATTTAAGCCTTTCATTACCAGGCAACCCCCTCCCAGCAGTTTCATGTCACATGAAGTTACATGTTTTTAAATTACACTTCAGTGGCATTCTAACCTGAAATTGATCTGTTTGGATCATGGGCTACAGTACCTGACTAGGACATGCGTGGTCTTTTCCCAAGCTGTGCTGTGGAGGCTGGGACCCGCTAACCACAATGGGCTATTGGCTACTGAAATGTAGCTTGCCTGAATTGAGATGTGCTTTGAGGGTGCCTGTTATAGAAAAAATAGTACAATAGAGGTTATAAACTACCTCAGTCATAATTTTAAAGATATTGGTTACATGTTAAATGATAATAGTTTAGATTGGGGACTTTAAAATGTATTATTGAATTAATTATTTCTTTCCTACCTTGCATGTGGCTACTAGAACATTTAAAATTACATGTGACACTTGGGCTTTATCTTATGCACATGCAGTCTCCTGCCCATTCTTAGCATGTCTTCCAGAACTACTTCAGAAACAAAAGTACAACGCAATCATAATCATGTTGTTGCCTGATTTTCAATGTTCCCTTGACTCTCCTGTTTCTTAGATACCATGGTAACAATACACAATGCCTCCTTTACACATCCCCACCTGCCCTCACACACAAAGGCTGCTCTTTACTCCCTGGACTCCGACTCCACAAATGAGTTGTGCTTTCTATTTGCAGTATCTCTTCACCTCTACTCCGTTGCCTAGAAAACTGTTCTCTGTGCTGTAGACCAGGTTCCTAAGGCTCCGTTGGTGAAGGGTTTCCAAGTTCCACTTCTCCATCTTCTCATCGCCCTCTTCCTGTTCTCCTTGTGGCACAGGGTACTGAATTCAGAGCCTCAGCTATGCTAGGAAAGCACTCCATCACTGCACCTCACCGTAGCCCCATCCCTCCATCACTGCGCCTCACCGTAGCCCCATCCCTCCATCACTGCGCCTCACCGTAGCCCCATCCCTCCATCACTGTGCCGCACCGTAGCCCCATCCCTCCATCACTGCGCCGCACCGTAGCCCCATCCCTCCATCACTGCGCCGCACCGTAGCCCCATCCCTCCATCACTGCGCCGCACCGTAGCCCCATCCCTCCATCACTGCGCCGCACTGTAGCCCCATCCCTCCATCACTGCGCCGCACTGTAGCCCCATCCCATTTTCTAGCATCAGCTTTGCCTGTGTGTATACTTAGCCGTTTGATAGCAGTCACCACATGAGGTCCCATAGCAGACCCGATTTCTGATTTCTTCAAACGCAGAACATGTTCTGTTCTCTGTTTTGTGCTTCCAGATCCTGATCTTCTAGTAGAATCTCTAAAATGTCATTAGGAAAGTTGAAGTTGGTCATGCTTTGCCCTATTGGCCTGGAGTACTCGTGTGTGGTCTGTTCACTGCAGAAAGCAGGCTTGAGCTCCTAGATCTTCCGTGGTTAAGGACAAATTTCTTTGGACCATTCTGACTTTACAAGAGCAGCATCTGTACCAACAAAAACCAGCAAGCAGACCGCAGAGATCACAGGAGCCTGCCTGGAGGCTGCAGTGGGCGCTAGTTTCCAGGTTGGGTTTAGACTGGAAAATGAGAGAGGAATTTATTTATGTTCAATCCAGACAGCAGGTTTCTCCAGCCTGGCTGGGTGCCCATGCTTGCAGAAGGTAAATATGGCAGGTGGTGGCTAGGCGGTGGAGGGCAGCCAGATCTAGGAAGGCTACAAGCTGGAGTCGTAAAGTCCCCTGTGGGGCTCTTTACTGGCCTCTTGCTTCAGTGACCCTCTCTGTGGAGAGTTGTTCCTGATATTAATCTTCCCATCACCCTCCGCTTCTACTCCTGGGGATTTAAACTCTTGTTCAAAAGAAAAGTTAGGAACAAGAAACAGAGTACCCAAGACCCATG